CACGTAAAACATCCTATTAAACATAATCGAACATCATCTGTCAAAAACGTTTGACATTTCAAGTATTTGCCACCGTCCATTGTTTTATTTACATTACGCTTCAACAAAAATTTTCAAATTAAAAATGTAAAGTTTCTACGCGATTTTGAAATAATATCTCACCTTTCCGACAACCTACTGATTAGCACGAATTTTTCAAGACTAAGACTGGCCAAATCGGTTTAGCCGTTTTCGAGTCTTAGCGGATCATTTTATCGAGAGCTCCATTTTCATATATAAGATATATATATATATATATATATATATATATATATATATATCTTTTCCCGTCTCGTCTTGTCTATATATTAATCCTTTCTCGAATTTTTTTGATAGATATTTTGGGTGAGAGATCATGTACAAAAGTCATCAGTCATGATACGTGCAACCATATATCTTCGTGTCTTCGTTGCGAATTTTGTGTCAGCCATATGTGGGATTAATATGTAAGAAATAAGGAATACCTACGCCACTTTAAATATTCAACACATATATTTATTTAAAGTATACGCTCTCAAATATCATATTATGATGTCGGGGATGTGGTTTGTGCATGTTTCCGTGATGGAGTAGTTTCTGGTTTAAGAAATATATCGTGGGGTGGAATAGACATGTAATATTATGTCGAATTTCGGAAAGACAAGGAATAGTCTGTGTATTTTATGATAAGTTTAAGTTTCAAGAGAAAATATGTTATTGGACATAGTTATATTACTGATTTTGGGTGACTCGGAAAATGTATGCGATAAATTTTCTTGAGACAACTACAGAGGGTGCGCCATCAATATGTAGTCAATGGAAACATTGAAGTTTTGTTTGCGCAATGAAGGAGTGTATTTGGTCAACTTTATTTTTCGAACCTTGTTGTAAAATATTTTAAGGCTTTGCATGCATAATGAAAAAAAGTTTATCAAAATTTATTCAAAATTGTTCGAGTTATTCAACATTTTCATTGACCACATATAAATGGCGCACCCTATACTACTTTCCTCAAGTTTTGCCTTAAATGAAATTAAACTTTCCAGATTAAAATTTTGCAAAAAACGATTTATCACAAGGGTACTGTAACACAGTTTTTGATAAACGTATTTTTTCACCCTTAAATTGAATTTTACCCTTTTCTATCGAAAAACTACTAACTATGATGTCAACTCCCTTTGTAGGCATTGAGATTGATTGATCGATTGAAGAAACAATAAGCAATTTAAGTGTAAATACTTTGAAAAAAAATTCAGCTAATTAAAGATCATGAGGAATATTGATTTGGCGGGAATAGCTCAGTCAGTAGCGTGACCGACCATCGATACTCGGATCGATTCTTGGCAATGACATAGAATTTAAAATTTTGATCTAAAACTAAATAGAATTTGAGTTGTTGATTTAAAATAGCATAGAACTTCACGTGATAAGTAAAATTTAAAAATAGCTCATTTGAAATAAACAGGGAGCAAATTAGTTCCAATTTAGATTAAGTGTGTCATGCATGATTTTAATATACAAAAACAAAAAAGTGTACAAAAAAATCGATGTCTAATAAAATCATCGTTGAATTATGAAGTATTACATTTTAAATAATACACTTAATTATCGTAAAGTTAAACTTCAAACAAAGAGAATAATTATGGAAAAGCTCTCCATAAAATTTGAATTGTTGAGTTGAATTTGAATAAAAATTAGAAGTAAGAAGAAATGCAAAATTATAAATTGAAGAAGATCAGATTTACAGATTTATTTACAGATTATGTAAAATATATATAAAGATAGTACAGATTTATCTCCTTTTTCAACGATTAATTTATTTAGGTTTTGTTTTCACTAAATTATTTTTTATGTATATACAAATTTTTGGTTTGTTATATGCAGTCTTTACTTTTATTAACTTCCAGAGAAAGTTTGTTTTTGCCAGAAAATCCGATTTGCTCTTCTTGTGTTTTTTCGACGTTTCAAATCATTCTGAATCAAATGAGACCGAATTTTAAAAAAATTGTGTGTGAGCCGATGTTTGATATTTTGTCAACATTATTTTAAAATGAGCTGCACTTATTTTAAAAATGTTAAAAATATTACTTGATAAAGACTAGCCTTTAGTAGTTTTGTGCAGCGATCAGCCAAGCCGTTTCTTTGTAATCAGCTGAAAAGTGTAAAACATTTTCGTCCACGTTTTAGCCCTTAATTTTGAATCGATTCCAAAAATTCAAAAACTTTTCGAAAGATATTGCTTTGGAATGGTGCTGTTTAGTTTTTGGTAAGATCTGGCGAGCCGTTTCTTTGTAATTATTTCTTGAATTTTTTTTTTGATGATAGATTTTGCAGTCTAAAATAACATACTCAAATGTTATAGGCCTACGATAAGCAGTTAAATTATGAAAAATCATCAAAGTTCAAAATTTAGCTGCGCACTTGAGCGATTCTAATCAAAATCTGTGAAGAAGCATTTGTATATTCTGTGATTCATAAGTATCTGCTGTAAAACCAAAATAATATTTATACCTTATTCAAAATAGATATTGTATTATAATATCAATTGAATAACGTCCACACTATAATTGTATCAAACCATTTTTTCAATTACGAAAAACAAACATCAAGTTACATCGATCTATCCTATCCTGGTGATCAAATATCGTTTTTCCCATCAATATCGAATATCAACAATATCGACAGATCACTTCCCATCACTAGTCAAATGCGTTGTCGGGTTTTTATTACTTTTATATGTCATATTATTTTGTTATTTGCCATGACTGATGTTTTCAATCGAAATCGATTCTGTTTGATGAAAAACATAAAATGTACCTGAAAAAATATATAGGAAACAGAACGCGTGTTCCGGCTTTGAATTTTTATTATTATTATTTTTACTATCGGATGCAACTCGTGATCAAATTAAATATTCGAGGAGGCATCATGTGTAATTGATGGAAACGTGTGTTTAATAAATTAAATTTTTGTTTGATAGGATTAATTACTATTTTTGTTCCTTGCATTTGCGCTGGACTTAGGCATCGAGTATCTGAATTTTTGTAATATATTGCGATAATACTTTCATATATATATATATATATATATATATATATATATATATATATATATATATCGTCGGATTTGATATATGAAACTTTCCTCGCAATAAATAAAAAAGTTTTATTTTAAATACGTACCACAAAAGGCACATGTCAGAACCACACACATGGATTTCCAACAGGCGATTTATTTTCAACGAAAACTTTTTTTTCGAATAGATAAAATTAAAGTTACGGTGAATTGGAAATTGGGAAAATCGCACTGAAAAAATTACAGACATTAGATAATTTATTTATATTATCAAAGCATTGTTTTTATATTGATGAACACATGGTGCAAAAGACTAAAATTTATTCACTCTAACCAAGTCATTGGAATTAAAAAAAAACTGAAATTTTTAACACAATGTTTGAAATTTTGGATTGTCAAATTTATGAACATTTTTGTTGGCCTTCTTTGCAAGTTTTCAAAAAGTTTCATAATTATTCCACTTTTGTATGAATGATCTGCAGCACAAATATATTGAAACTCGTTTTTTCTCAATAACATACTGGACAAGCGCTTAAAATAAAATTCATAAATCTTATTACCAAAATAAGAAGAATAGATTCATAATATTATATGAAAATTCCAAATATATTTTCTTAATCCGAGCACAGTATTACATTCTTTAACATGCTCTTCATGCATGAAATTACAAAAACAAAATCATTTGCTTTCGGCTACAGCTGGATGTTATTTTTGAGAGAAATGTAAGATTTTTTAATTCACTTTTAGATTAATTCTTATGTACAGAAATTTTGCAATGGAAATATTTCTGTAATACGTTGAATAGCATTATGTGGAGAGTGGTTGGATACTTTTTTGTATCATCATAGGAAAACTGAGTTGTACCTCGTAACGATTCAGTCTTTATAATTTTTTTTATCATGCTTATTTTGATAAATTTTATAGTGATTATTATACTTACAAGTCGAAGATTTCTATCGGTGATTAATTTACTTTTTACCATTTTTTCTATGTGCCTTTCTCAAAAACCTGATATTAACCTTGAAATATAATTTTATAATCACTGAGTCATCGAATTTAGTTGATGTATGTTGTACTAAATCAGATCAACCAAGAATTTGTATCTAAACATACATATATACATGATTACATAGGGATCGGGGTCACCAATTATGTAGGTAAGCTCAGGTTGATAATAATATAAATATTTATTTGTGCATTTACCCCACAGGATAATGTCTCCTGAATAGTAAAATATAAGGTGATTATGGGACCGATTCTGCCGCATAAGTAAAATGTTATGGCAAGGCCATGTTATGAAAAACTTTTTCATACTAAATATTGTCAAAGCCATGTGGTTGTTGAGAACCTACGAGAGAAAACCTAACGTAGAAACCGAACAAATATCAAAAAAACGATCTTAGATAATTGATATTGTGCCTATATTTAATACCAAAATGGTACATGTCTTGTTTAAGACAATTTAAGAAAATTTGCCTAAAAAGTGAATTCAAAGCCAGCAAAATTTTGAACAAAAATTGACAACATCAACTTACGAAAATCTCGAGGTTTCTCATTGGAAATTTGATATACGTTTATATTAGCTATGCATGATTATAATCTTAATTTTCTTGAAAAAAATGCTCAAAATGTTATAGAAGAAACTCACCTTGAAGAAAATGCTCAAAATGTTATAGAATAAACTTATCCTGAAAAAAAACAAAAATGTTATAGGCTTACATGAAATCGTTTAATCATAAAAATAAATGTAATGTGGAAAGTTAGGCTTAGGCTTTTCTTTAGGAATTCCTTTCTTATAAAATTATATTTCATAGGCTTATAATATATTGATTTTTAAGGATATAAGATAGTTTACGATTTCTAAAAATATATAAATGTTAATTTGTAATTTTTTTATTTTTTTGCAGATTTGACCATAACCGATTACAATGCGACGACGCAGTATACAACCACTTTACCAACAACCACAGAAGAAGTCACCAGGCCACCTGTGGTTACTTTTCCTGAAATCACAATAACAGGTAAAATATTTGAAAAAAAATCCATATATTTTGTTAAATTCGTTCATCTCTATTAACACATCTCTTCTCTAGTTACTCGTTTATTGTCTCTAATTGCACTCTGTACAATATTTATTTCTATATGTTTCAATTCGTCTCTCATGGTCAAACACATGCTATTTACGTCAACAATTTTTATTAAATTTATTATGAGGTAATCTGATACAAAAAGAAGATTCTTTCGAAAACTTTTACAGAAAGGGTTTAACGAATTTACTGCTAAGCTTGTTTTGGTTATACTTTCTTCTGTGCTAAATTTTTTTATTTGTTCAATATTAAATACAACGATTTCTGGACATGTCAGCTGAAAATTGAAAAACAATGTACCATAATTGGATAAACAGGACTATTTCTATTTGAAATAATTACAGTACAAAATTTTGATTTGAACTACTCTGAGGTGCAAGGAAGGCAAACGCACATGTTGCGTTGAAAATACAATTTTTTTTAAATATTTTAAAACTATTTAGAATCCATTTTGTATCATTTATTAAATCGCGCTCTTTACATTTATCTGGGAAATGCAATTCAGATTTTCGAAACTGATATGCTGTCCTGTTAGAGAACACATTATCCTTGTTTTGTTCCCTCTGTAGCTTTTTGCAGACAAGAAAAACACTGAATAAAACAGTGTCATTTCATGCAAACAAATAGTTCTAGCTATCAGGGCATTAGTTTTATCTCCGACATTAACAAATACAGTATGCAATCTGATGAATTTTAAAATATCGTTGGAAAATAGTCGTTGGGAGTGAAAAATCTGTTCAACGTAAAATGACTGAAATTTATTACGTTTTCGAGAATTAACAGTTGCTGTCTAAATTTGAATTTAAAAATTTCTAATAGTACTAGTGATTGTGCATTTTCTTTATCTCAATTATCAATTATTCCAAAGCCATATTTTGTAAATGTATTCAATATTCCTCCAACAATTATTTATTCACTCCTGTCTCCTATTTTCTATGTCCCTATGTTTGTTCATTTCTGAATTATTTTCGCTGCAAAATGAAATTTTCCATTTCTATTAACAAATGTGTAGCTACTGCGACTGCCATTGCAATTGCATATGGAGTTCCTAATGAGTTCAAAAATTCAAAACTAACACTGTACAACTGAATAATATGTTTAACTTATAATTAATTTATATCATCATGTTGGATGAACATAGGATTCTGTTTGAATTAATGGACATATTAAATTATTTATTTGATTTCACCATGTGCATTTGAATTAGTTCTGCATGTGGCGTTTTGCTTGTGCTTGTTGACAATTTGCACCAACTTTCTGATATATGAAACTAGTATATTGAATTAGTAAATAATACAACAAAGATTATATATCTGGATCAGATTAAAGATAGTATTAAAAAATTCAGTCCATATTCGAAATTTTAAAATTTTAAGATATTTAATTTATTTTAACATCTATGGGTTTAAGAAACAAAATACTGCGAAATGACAGTTTTTAATGTTCCTGAAAACTTCGAGATAAATTGAAATTTATTATGTGATTTTTTCATCGTGTTCATTTAAGTACTACAAAGGCTCAAAGATTGAAAATCACAAATTATAGTCGAAATATAACATTAGTAAAAAAATTTAAAAAAAAAATTGAATTCAAAAAATGAAATGTTTATGGCAAATTTAAAAAGAAACCCATATATTCTAATGTAACGTAATAAAAAATTAATGTATGTTTGTGAGTATATTATATATTGTGAGAGACAAATTGTGACATAAAGAGATGAATATTGTATAGAGTGTAATTAGAGACAACAAACGAGTAATTTGAGGTGAGGTGTGTTAATAGAGACGATCGAAGTTAACAGTATATAATATTTTTAACTTTCTGTAGGGTAAGTCAAAGTAATCGCAAAAAATCGAAAATGATATTTTTTCATAAATTAACGTTTCAGACTTTCTGAACATTTTGGCATTCTTTAAAAAAATTATGTATGTGTGTGTATGTTCGGATTTTAATTTTTGTCGACTATTTCGGCGCAGCAACCGATTTGAATAATTCAAAAAGCATTTGATTCGTATTAATGGGGAGACGTGCTGATTAGTTTTTGGCAAAGTCAGATCTAGCCGTTTTGACAGCACCTAAAAAACTACTGCAACATTACAACAAATTCAAAAATAAGAATCAGAATCAAACTATGATCAAAAAATTATAAATCTAACTTCAATTTTGATATTGAATACGACTCAGAGACGCTTTGCAGAATCATGCTTCATTCAAATTTACAAAAGTATTTCAAACAAGAGAAATGATACTTTTTTTCTTTGTGAGAATTATCTTGCTCTATCAAAATTATTTTGTTAAATTACTTTATTTTCAAAATGTCACCTATCACTTGAGTGTGGTGAGTAATGACCATTTTTAAATATATATAAATATAAATTGTTTAATATTAACAACATAAATATACAGATATAAAGATAAACAACAAGTTATTTAAATAATCTTTTCCTCCTTTTCAAGATGCACTCTAATGTATTCAGTTTAAGATTTTCAGTTTGAAGAGAATGCTTCTTTCATTTTGGGTTTATCTGAAAAATATTGCATTTTCCATAAGAAAGATATCATTGTGCACAAGTTTAGTTAGAAAAGAAACGAGTTTTCTCCCTGACTTGGCCAAAAGCCAAAAACGAGGTTTGATACCTCGTTGCAGATTAACCCGACAATACCTTATCTGCTGAACTCCTATATAATCTTATTCTTTATAGGGAGGAAAGGCCGTAAAAATGGCTCGCTTAAATATTGTTACTGATAAAAAATTATGTGCTTAGGTAGATGTCGAATATTTTCGGTATTTAATGTTAGGAAAACAATTTTTGTCAATTGCAGAAAAGGGTACTAGGGTGGTAAAATAGATTTTATTGAAAATTGTGTTTGTTAATTTCCTCAAGAATTTTGTTTTCGTCAGATAAACTATAATTATTCCCCGAATAATAAATTTTAGTTTACATTAAAAAGAGCAATTGTGCATCCAAATGCTAGAAAATAATGTACAAACTTCGTGAATAAAAATAAATTTCAATGTCCTTTAATTTACCACAGCAAACCGTTTTGAGATTAGCAATTGCATAATAAATAAGATTATAACCCAGAAACAAAAGTCGTAATAAAAGTTGTTTAAGCAAAATTTAAAGAACGCGGCCATAAGGAATAAAACTTCTTAATTTTTACCTACGTATTTCGCCGCATAATGACTCAAGTTTTGCGAAATAGTTTGGGAACATCCGAAATATATCATTTATAATAATAATAAAGTTTTATGTGTATAAATAAAATATAAATAAAATTTCGTTTAAAGAAATTTTAAATTTTTTAAAGAAATGTATTTATAAGTTTTCATTATTTCTCACCTTATAAGACAAATAGTTTCTATTCAGACAATTTGAGTACGCAGAGTTTTTGGTATAAATAGTGAGTATAAAATTATATATGAATAAATTATAAATTTCTTTGTCTATATTTATAATGTATAATGTTACACAAATTTTGAAATGAAATATAAATGATTGTCTTGTTTGTTCAAATTGACTTTCGAAAATGGAATCCTTGGAATAATCAGAAACAGAATTTGGACTTGATTGATTTTTTGTCATATTAATGAAGATTTCATAGTCAATTTAGTAATTCAGTTAGATTTTTGGATAGGATAATTTTACATAGAGTCATTTGCTATAGTTTGAATAATTTCATTTATGACCTATTTATATATATACATACTTTATTGACATGTTATCATGGTCAGATCAAAACAATTTCATCATCGTTATCCTCATTACCAAAATGGAAATATTTGACACGTTATTAATATTTTATTACATATTTTCCTTGTACCTATAAATAGCATCTTTTGTATTATATATTTTAGTCACTTAGATCATAGATAATACGACAATTTACCTATATGTTATATCAGATAAAGTCGAAACATTTTATCCACCTTAATAGTCTTTATGGTCATTACTAAATAGTATTGAACGATATCAATCAAGTTGCATTTATTATTTATGTTATGAATAAATGTAATTTTTGGTTCACTTATTTATTATTTAATTGTTTTTGAAAATGAATCAGGATGATCATATTTATAATAAGGGATACAGATTTTTCTTGATTATTTTGGTCATTTATAAAATTATTGGAGGGATTTAAATTTTCTTGACCCATTCAGCAGCATCCATAATAAATCACTTAGATTATTCACGTTTGAAAAAATTCTGTTTTGCATATTTTATTTATTTTTATAACATCTATTGTTGAGCATCACTGCTATAATTAACTTCCCTTAGGGTAAATTATATTAATCGCAAAAAAACGAAAATGAAAATTTTCATAAATTTACGTTTTAGAGGTTTCTGAACATTTTTGCATACCTTTGAAAAAGTAGGTGTATGTATGTGTGCGGTACAAATTTTTGTCGACGATTTCGGGAACACGGATCAACCGAATTGAATAATTACTAAAACATTAAATTTATGCTGAAGATTCGTGAGTTTTTAGCAAAGGCAGGTCTAGCGAGGTACGAGATACGGGGAAAAAGTGCCAAAAATGGTAATTGATTTTTTGAGAAAACGAAGCGTTCGATTTGAATGATTCAAAAAACATTTTATTTGTATTGACGAAATGAAGAGCTGATGAAATTTTTGAGAAGACAGGTTTATCGGTTTCGGAGATCCAATAAAAATAGTGGAAAAAATGATCATAAGACATGTACACATCAAATTTTCAATAAGTACAAATTTTGTTCAATTTTTCATGGATTCCCTATCAATGTTTATTAGTTCGACTACAACGCGGCGTTTACGCGCTTCGATAATTCTTTTCTTAAACAGCCACGCAGCACGATTGCTTTGAAAAAAAGTTCAAAATTTTCAGGAAACTTCAAAGTATAAAAACAAAATATTACATTTATATTAAAAAAAATCTAATTTTTCAAAATTCTAATTTTTCAAAAATTCAAAAAAAGTCAATTTTTTTTTTAATTTCAAAATTTTCGAAATACTCATTTTTTTCAAAGTTTTAAAAAAAAAATAGTTTTTGGTACGGGAAGTTGCAGCAATTTGCCTTAAGACACAATGCCAATGCCATGCACCACTAGTTTAATAAATAATTAAATAAAACGTTGGATATCAAAGAAGTTCTATTAATTTCTGTCGTCAGAAAGATTACACGTGATGAAAAATAGATCAAGTTTTGTATTTTTTACTTGAAAGAATTTTTTTACGTTTACCAAATTTTTTATTACGTTTAACTAACGATAAGCATTTTCAAATATATTAAATTTAATAAAATGTAAAACAGGACAGTCGGCTTTGGGCTACGCGTAATGAGCCTGGATATTTTATTTAATTTTATGTAATTTATTTTAATATTATTTTTATAATTTTTATTTCATTTGTAAATGTTTAAAAAAAATCACAACACTACATATGACTTTTATTATTGTTGCAGAAATGCCTCGTCACAGGCTAAGACTGAACCAATATCATGAACACCATTATGGACCATTTTTCGAAGAACCAGAAGTCGCAAATTCTGGACAAGCCGTCAACGTGTCCTTTTACAAGGATTCGAATGGGGAATTAAATTGCAGAGTCGGAATGCTAAGAGATAAAACGGTAATAATTAATTAATTATTTAGTATTAATTATAGAAAAATAACAAATTTTGTTGAGGATTTTAGTACTGCGTCATTTCAAGTTTGTGTGTGCAATACACGGATTGTATATGAAAAATCATTTTTCTTTACTCTATACCATCTTTACTTTACAATATATTGTACACCCATAAAAACATTTTCCAAACTCTAGATGAAAAATGAAAACTCTTAGCCGCATATTTCTCTATTAAGGAGTGTATAATACCTAAACTTTTACTGCGAGATTGTAAGTTGGCAAAAAATACTTTTTATACCGCACAGCATCTTCTCAGAAATAAAATAGAACTTGTACATTATGTTAATGTGTCGGCAATAAGAGAATAAAATCGGAGAGTTAAATTCAAGACTGTTTTTGCGAATTTTTTTCGAAACAATAAGCACTGCTTTCCATTGTGGGGGAATATTAAGGGAAAAAGTCTCATTATATATAATACATATATTTATATATATATATATATACATATATATATATATATATATATAAATTATATATAATATTACATCCAATAGCTAACATTTGCAAAACAGTGTTAATATTCTCTATGCGAAAATTTAATTACATGAAAAACAAACCTAATTACGAAATGTAAATTCAAGCGTAATTAAATGGAAAGAGAAAATTGCTTTACCTGCAACAAATTAATTATTTAAAAAAAATTAGGAAAATATAAAAGTGAATAATTAGTGTATAGCTTTATGATTAAATACAGAATAAATCATACTATATATTCTTAATATTCCTTAAGGATAAGATTGTGTTTGTGTGTATATAGGTATATGTATATATTTTGCCAATAGGTATATGAAAACTGTTTCGAGTTCCATTGCAAAATAATCATTAGATTCTTATCATAAACTGATAACTTTTGTACGGTTTACACATTTTATTCTTCTGACCTATATATTTTAAAATTCTCAAAATTACAAAAATTGCATAGTTGCTATAGTTTTAGACATTTGTTTTTTTCATATTTAATCAGTTTTGCTGTTCAGAATTAATGTTTTATTGATTTGGACTAACTTAACTTGATGAATTTTCATTATATTTATCCTAAAATTCAGAAATAATATACCTAAATAATATTTGTATATAAAGAGGGTTTATACAAAAACCGACAGTTTAGAACCGGTTTAATCGTTTTTTTATAAAAAAAAACAAATTTCTCGATTAATTCAGTAAAAAAATGAAAGAAAATATCGAGTGCTTAAAAGCAGTTTTTGATTGAAATTATATACTGTTCAATTTTATTACTAATATTTTTTGTGCCATTTAGTAGAACGCAAAAATAATTGATCAAGATTAAGTAACTGTAAGTATGCCTGATATTCACATATAGAGATGTGCTTTTTTTTATTACAAATATTATATGCAAAGAGTTTTACATATAAGGGTGTAAATATTCATAAAATAGTGAAATAAAGGACGACTATCGATTTGCAACAATGTTCTCATCAATCTGGTATATTTAGATACATTTGTCTTTTTTAACTTTTTTAAGTGTCATTGGAAATCGGTATTTACTACTGAAAAACCGGTTTTTGGATTCCACATTTTTTCTAAAATATAATCCAAAAAATTTTAAATTTCATTAATATTATATTTTAGTCAGATTTCAACCAGAAATCAATCTGGTCGAATACATAAGTTTGATAACTCCTGTTGTTTTCCAAACAACATATTGTACATATTTTAATCTTAACTTAAAAAAAAACAGTGGTGTATGGCATCGTGCTTTGAGGCAAATTGCTGGAACTTTACGTACCAAATTTAAAGTTTGAAAATCCGAATTATTTTCTATATTCAACTTTTTTTTCTAAATTAAAAAAAAATACTTTTTCCGAAAAACAATCGTTTCGTCAACACAAGCAGAAAGTTTTTTGAATCATTCAAATCGGACGCTTATTTCTCTCAAAAACTGCCATTGTTTGTACTTTTAGCTCGGTATCCCCGAAACAGCTTGACCTGCCTCTGCCAAAAACTAATCGCCACTTCTCACCGTCATTACAAATTGAATGTTTTTTAGATCATTTAAATTCGGATGCTCCGTTCTCTCAAAAACTCGATTTGTATTTTCTGCACTCTTTGCTCCGTATCTCCGTAACGGCTGGACCTGCCTTTGCCAAAGACTAATCAGCACATCTCTCTATCAATAGGAATCGAATGTGTTTTGAATCATTCAAATCGGTTAATCCATGCGCCTGAAAACGTGGACGGAAAAATGCGGACATACAAAACACACACACATCCATTTTTTCTGAGGTGTGCCAAAATGTTCAAAAACTTTCAAAACGTGGAGAAATGCAAAAATTTTCATTTTCGGTTTTTGGCCCATTACTATAACTACCCTACGGGAATTTTAAAAAATGCAAGGAGAGTGAATATATATTTTGCAATAATTTGTAAAATTTTTAAAAGATTCATATATAATGATGATGAATAAAGGAAGATTATTAAGGAAGATCCCAAAAAAAATTTGAAACAGAGCCCTGACAAAGCACGCTACGTCTCTGACTATGAATTCATCTTTACCACCTTATGAAAAAGAGTTGTAAGGCTATGAAAATACATTACTAGTTATATTCTAGTTACAATTCCACATTTAGAAATACAATGTTGATATAAAACTATGTCTACTTTATTTATTTTTTTGTCTACAATGCCATAAAGGAGAGTCGGCACAGAGTCATGTCCCGATTGCGTGTTTTATATGCGGGATTTAGGCGAATCCGCCAAATCCCGCATTGCTCACCAGTATTGTAAAACATGTCATACATATGAAATCTTCAAATCTCCTATCTCTGATTTTATAGTTGTACAAGTAAAAAGGTAATAAAAGATACCAGTCTGGGGTTACGAAAGACTCTTGCACTGAGGTCAAATATTTAAACTGTCGATGGCAAAGGACATGATGACATAGAAGTATAAGTTTTGTGAGTCACTAATAAGAAGTCCCACGTCTCTATACCTCGTGTGAGAATTTCCTTCGACTTCCCAGTGAGATATTTTACTGATTGTCACGGAAAACGCAACTCGGTAGCAAGTTTGTTAAGGTGACGATAATATAATCATGTAGTAGACTTGCCAATATCGACGATATTGAGTGCTTCGAACGCTTTGAACGTTGAAATTGCTAAATACAAAGCGACGGCTCTTGTATGGCCAGAAACTTGCATGTATTATATTGTTCTCTATTGTGAGTATCACATTGTTGAAGGGTCTTGTAAGGGAAAAGAGTTAATAGTTTGTGCAATTACTAGAATCACACGTCTACAAAAGAAACAAATTTAACTAATTGTTATTGGTATTTTGTCTTGAGGCAAGTCGCATGAACTTCCCGATATGTGTAAATAATCGACTTAATCAATAAAAACTAAATTAATTTTAAAGTGATTAAAAGTGTTCCGAGTGGATTTATTTTCGGAGTATTTTCTAAAAGCAAATTTTCAAAAATCAACCATTTTTATAATTGAACCAGTTTCCGTAGGACAATAATGGTTTAGTATCTTCATTAAGACCGTTATACCAAGTAAATCGTCTAATTTTAATTCCAACAAACGTCAAAAAAACTACACATGTTCCCTTGATAAATTTTTAGAGTTAAACTATGGGTCGTAAGGCAATAATATTTCAGTAAGTTCTATAAGACCATGATATATATTGCCAAAAAAGTTCCATAAAAATCGATTTAAATTTTTTTTTCAACGGTTAATTACATAAAAACGGCTTGGTAGATTTTCACCTAAAACTAATCAGTATCATTCCCAACTAATATCTTTCGAACAGTTTTTGATTTTTTAAAATCGATTTTTTAATATAAGCTTAAATGTTATAGAAATATATAAATTAATAGATATATATTTCTATGTTTTATAAAAATGTATCAAAATATTTCATTACCAAAACTATACAAAATGTCATGACATCTATATTTGTTTTTCAGTTCTTGATCCATGTTCAATTGCTATCTTCATTGTAGATGTCGTAGGTCACCAATATAGAAATATGTAAATTAATAGACAGATGTTCCTATGTTTTATAAAAATGTATTAAAACATATGATTATCAAAAGTATACAAAATGTCATTACATGAATAATTGTTTTTCTCCAAACTTATGGCCTGCCTCTTTGATTCCCACAATGTGGACGAAAAGTCTAACACTTTTTTCTAAATTACAAAGAAACGGCTCGGCCGAGAAACAATAATGCTCATCGAGATACATCAAATGGCTTTTAAGTTTCTGAAATCGGTTCAGGCGTTCTTAAGAAAACGTCGATGAAAGGTCTAATTTTGATAAATGTCAATAAACGATACTAATTTTTGCAAACTTTGAAGAATTTTTAATATTAAACGACTTGTAGTAGGGCTGTAATATTTTAGTATGATCTACAAGACTATGGTATCTACCGTCAAAAACGTAATAATAAAAATCGTCAAAAAAATAAATTTTAACACTTTTTAACAAGAAAACGGTTCGGACGATCTTCACCAAAAACTAATCAGCACGATTCTCAACTAATATCTTCTGAACGGTTTTTAAATTCTCAAAATCGATTCAGAACTGCGGGCTAAAACGTGGACAAATTTTTTTCACTTTTCTGCTATTTACAAAGAAACGGCTTGGCAAAATTGATAAACGCTAGTCCTCATCGAAATACATCGAATGGCTTTTGAATTTTTGAAACCGATCCAGCCGTTTTTGAGAAAACGTCGATTTTCGGCGAAAAAATGTTCACACACACATACTTTTTCCAAATTTGGTCTCATTCGATTCAGAATGGCTTGAAACGTCAAGAAAACATAAAATTAGCGAATCAAATTTTTTTATGAAAACATAAACTTCTCCTTCGGGAAGTTAATAAAATATACTTGACAAACTTGTTCACAGATATTTATTTTTGTCGACACTTGACAAAAAATCTTTAGCAAGTATTTCGCTGAAGTGGTACAAATTATACAATGATCTACCAAGTATCCAATTATTATCTAGGCCGATCCCGATCCTGACAAAATTAAAAAGATATATTTAGTCTCTTGCGATACGAAAGCCCTTGACTCGGGTATAATTAGACCTACTCATCCATCAAGGGCTTTAGGGTACAAATGGAATGACTTAGGAGGTGGCTGAGATTTACGTGTGATATGTATATCCACAGGCTTACAGGCAAAAGTTACAGCTAAAAAGTTACCCATATTTGATATAGAGATAAAAACTGATTGGAATATTAGTAATAAAAAATTCTCAATACTTCTGTTTTTTTTAACACGATTAGAAGTGTAATCGATAGAGACCTTAATAAATACTGGTGCTCAAAATCTACAACAAGCACATGTACGTTCTGTGTTTTGTAATGATATACATTTTTACTACAATTATTTATCAAACTACAATTTGTTATAAATAAAAAAATATTATAATTTCAATTTTTTCCTAGGTTACGTGGTTAAGAAGAATGCACGACAAAGTCGCCCTGCTCACCGTTGGCGAGACAACTTACACCGGCGATCTTCGACTTTCGGTGAAATTTCAATATCCCAACAACTGGAAATTGATCATCAAAGGAATCAAGTTGGAAGATGCAGGATTGTACATGTGCCAGGTTTCAACATATCCTCCCAGAGTTCTGATCACCAACGTCACTGTTTTACGTAAGTAATAATAAATTGATAATTTTTATAGTTGACCACTTGATAACGATTTTTTATGCTTAATCTAAAAATTAATCCGATTATTAACTTCCCGTAGGGTAAGTTATAGTAATCACAAAAAAAACGAAAATGAAAATTTTTATATTTATTTTTACGTTACAAAGGTTTCTGGACATTTTGGCATACCTTAGAAAAAATGGATGTGTGCGCGCGCGTGTGTTGTGTGTGTGTGTGTGTGCGGATACAAATTTTGGATAATTCAAAAAACATTCGATTCGTATTGATAAGGAGACGTGCTGATTAGTTTTTGGCGAAGGCAGGTCCAGCCGTTCCAAAAGTGCCAAAAACGATAACTCAGTTTTTAAGAGAACGGAACATCCGATTTTAATAATTCAAAAAACATTTTATTTGTATTGACAAGACGAAAAATTGATAAATTGTCATAAAGGCAGGTCTAGCGGTTTCGGAGATCTTGGGAAAAAAGTAAAAAAAATGTCATTTGACTGTCAAAAATGTTTATTCGACTTATGCATCGACACATCAAATTATCAGATATTTTAGAGAGATTTTAATAATGTGTACACATTTTGTGTAAATTTTTTTGGGTTCCGTACCAAGATTTTTAATTTTGAAGTTTATTCATATAATTCAAATGAATGTTCTCGACATTTTTGACAATATGGAATAACTATGGAATAATAATAATTAAAAAATCATTCGGTTCGTACTCGATCGTGGAGCGTTTATGCAAAAGGTAATTTTGCTGTTTCGGAGGTATAGAGCGCAAAGGGTGTAAAAACGGTTATGCAGTTTTTAAGAGAACGGATCATCCGATTAGATTAATTTAAAAAACATTTTGCTTGAGAAAATATAGTAATTTTGAAAATTTTCAAAAAAAATTCAAAATTTTCGAAAAATCAAAGTTTCAAAAATCTAATTTTAGAAGTTTTCTATTATTTAAAAAAAACTAAATTTTGAGAATTAAAAAAAAACGATTTCTTACAAAAGTTTGAGAATATTTCGGAATTTTCAAAAATATCGAATAATTTCAAAAGTATTAGAAAAAAATTTTTTTTTAAACTTCTAAAAAAAATTTCAAAATTTGAAAAAAATTCTAAATTATCAACAAGTTTCTAAATTATCTAAAAAATCAAATTTATGTTAGTAACAGAAAACGCTCGTCGCCCAATTTAATAAGCACTTATAAATTTACAGTATTATATATTCATAATAATCTATTTGAAATTATTCAAAACAATTATTGATTATTTTCATTCCTCGAATGTTTACTTACGGTACGGGAAGTTTCAGCAATTTGCCTTGAGGCACGATGCTATACACCCCACTAGTTAACTTTATGACTGGTAATTTAGGAGTTTTACAGAAGTTAAGATTTGGCGCACTAGTGGTGTTTTGCGCCAGGTTTTCTCTTTCGTGTTATTAAACTGCATTTTATCACTTTTTTTATTCTGCTGAACAAAACTAATTCATTTTCAAATCAAAACTCTTACTGCTTACCAAAACTCCGGTTCGGATTTATTTAAATATCCCAGTACACTCCAGCATCCCATCAAAATTTTCAAATATGAATTTCAAACTTTAATCCTATTTCGGCTAGTGTAGTGACTAGTGCAGTGCTCTGTTTTGCACATGCACATGCACATGCACATGCAGACTGCGTTTACCTAACATACCAAAATTATTGGATTACATGACGAACAATGGAATGTTGTGTGTAAACAAAGCTCTCGGCTTTGTGCAGACTCGAATCGGATATAAACTCGTTATAGGAGGTCAAAACAAACCCCTTCGGATGCAGAAAACGCGAAACCAACCGACGATATATAAATACCAGAGACGACGACGATGAAGGATTTGCACTTCATTTCATCTCCATCGTTTGTATTTTGAATTGAAGTGGAAATTAATTTTGATTTCATAAATACTTCAGATGCACAAATCAAATTAATTATTGATGCTCGAATGTCAGTCCATGGTGTAGGATCACTTATCTGTCTTGTTTATAGTTAACTTTATACCTCTTGGCAAGACGAGAAATATAGGGTAAAGTTGGTCAAATCGTACTACTACCTTAGTCGTAGTACTGCCTAAGTCGTACCACTGCCTAACAACTTTTAACTCTTACCAATGTCTAAGTTGTTCTTGTATCCCAGCTATATTTTGTCGGATAATTATAAATTACATCATATAATACCGATAATTTTTTTTAAGATTTGTGAAATTATTTATTTATTTATTTATTGAATTAGCAATCAAGATACAATTTAATCTTATAAGCTATTGTAACACAAACGAGGGGGAAAAATAAAATAATTATAAAAATAATAATAATAATAATAGAAGAAAGAAAAAAAGAAATAATTATCTAGAGTTCACTCCTATGAGAGAAGCCTAGTATTTCATATGGTACCGATAAATAAAATTATTTAATTTATTAAGCAAATGTTTACAATTGGAAAGCTGTCCGATTTTGTGAAACAGAAATAATCTAAAAGTGTGTAAAAGTAAGTGATTTGCCAAGTTTTTGCTAATATTCTGGACTTAGTTGTAAGACTATTACGACAGTAATATTAATCTGAATTTTTTTCTTATTAAGGTTCATTAATTTCTCATAGGGTAAGTTATAGCAATCGCAAAAAAATCGAAAATGAAAATTTTTATCTATCTTTACGTTTCAAAGGTTTCTGAATATTTTGGCATACCTTAGAAAAATGGATGAATGTGTGTGTAAGTGTGTGTGTGCGGATACAAATTTTAGTCGACGATTTCGGGAACACCGATCAACCGATAATTGGACGATTTTAATGAAATTTTTTATCATAATAGCGATCATAGTTATAGTAGCCATACTAAAATTTAACCCTACATCAAGTGGTTTAATTTTAAAAATTCATCAAAGTTTGAGAAAATGTGATAGTCAACATTTTTGTCAAAAGTTGCTTTTGTGGTGTGATAAGTCAAAATTTTAAAGATAAAGTCACGTACTAAATAGTACTAAGAGAATTGGCTGAATCATATAAATTCAATAAAGTAAATTGCAATTTTAGAATTACAAATTCTATAAATGTGTTTAAATTACATTGATTCGAAATTACAATGTTTAGTTTCTAGTAAAAACTTTGTTTTTGATATATACAGTTGAAAATTTTATCTAAATAGCTAAGTCTCAATTTTGATTGATTAAGTCAATTATTACACATATCGTGCAAGTTGCCTTACGGAAAAATGCCACTTAAAAAAAGTTAACCCAACGCGACTTATTGCTTACAAGGCTGAAACTATGCCTTAATAATCCAAATTCAACTCTTCCCTTAAAGTCCCTTATATTGTCCCTTATCACCTGAGTTTGTTTCAGAAATACGAGTACTACACCAAACTAAATTGTATTAAAGTTTAGCTGTGTTTCTATAATTTCGAGCATCATTAGAGTTTAACTTAGAAACTAAAGTACTTATTAATTTAAATTAACGATCTGGTGTTTGTAGCCACTAATTCCTACTTAAGATTAGCATTTATGCTTACATAACACTTTAAGGTAGTTGGCGAAATTTCAATTAGAAATAAGGCTAACTTGGAAGTTTAGGCGAAATACGACTTCTAATTAGTTATATATATATATATATATATATATATATATTAATTCAACTATGTGTTGCAAAAGCAGAACAGTTTTTCAATTGAAGGATTTTCTGTCAAAAAACAAAAAATCAGTTTGTTTTAAATTCGAATTCGCTTATCCCTCGTGTAGAGTTCCAATTGAAAAAAATATTGTTTGTTTTAAATGAGCATTGATAAAATTTAATCCCCATTTCAGCAACTGCAATAGATTTTGGCAGAAACCAATCAAATAATAAAAATTGTGCACTTTGTGTAACTAGATATGATTTTTAATAAATTTTATGTTTAAATCTGAATTTGGTGTGGTGCAACATTTAGAATTGTACATTAGTAAATGTTTTTTAAAATTATGTCCAGATCGCACGGTTTGCATTACAATCTTGAAATTTGTACGAAATATTTTTTGAAGTGTCTACTGCAGTTGCAAATATTAAAATTTATAGGGTTTCTTGAAAATTTTTGAGATATTTGCAATTTAGTAAAAAAAGTACTGTAAAGTTTGAACCAACTTCATATTAAGATATTTGAAATTATGCACTGGCCGCACCGTTTGTATTACAACCTTGAAATTTACACGTGTTATTCTTTGAAGTATCTATTACAATTGCAATTAATAATATTTAGAGTCCTTTTCAAAATTTTGAGACATTTGCAATTTAGTAAGAAAAATACTTTCAAAAGCATCCTAGACATTTGGTATAGAATCAACTGTTTATTAGTAGATGATTTTTGAATTTATGTCTAGGTCGAACAGTTTATATTACAACCCTGAAATTTGCACGAGTTATTCCTTGAAGTATCTATTACAATCGAAAATAATAAAATTTATAGGGTCTCATGGAAAATTTTGAGTTATTTGCAAACCAATGTAACAAGTTTTTTGACTATTTACTTATGACACACAGCAAAAATTTAACAATTTTTTCAAAATTGTACAGAAGCAAGTGTAAATATATTTTAAAAAAATCATGTTAATTTAATATTATTTTCAAAACACGCAGTTGGTATTAGTGAAATTTATGCATTTACTTTTGCAACAGTATATATAACAAAGCTTTTTTTCAAATGATGGATACACTATCATAACTCCGAAACTTTTTTGGTAAAAATTCGTATATTTAGCATTTTATATCACAGTCTATTAACCTTATTCACTATTATAACACTATATGAGCAAAGTACACACATGTTCTTGATCCAACAGACCATATGCAAGTTTTTCATTCATTGAGTCTACAAGCAATTTTCTACATTTTCTCGACCGCCGCAATGAAAACTGTATATTTCAAGAACTAAGCGATTTGCTAACATAATACAAATAAAAAACTACATCCTAGTTTCCTCGTAAATCCTATGGGCAT